ATATATAACTACTATTAATAATAATAATAATAATAATAATAATTTATTTTGCCATATATATTATTGTTGTTATTATTGTTGATATTTTGCAGGTGATCGTTAAAGGGATATAATATCATCGAATCAAGGGGTTCGTGGTAGAAAATTCCCATGTGCGTTCGTAGCAACCGTGGAAGGCCACCACGGTCGAAAAGAGAGAAGGAGGAGCATGACGTAGTAATCGGCAAGGGGGGCCCTTGGGATGCTCCTGACTTTTGGTTAGGGTCGTATGGAGGGGAAGGACGAGACCAACCCGGAAGAAATTCTATTTTTCAATCTAACCACCACCACCACCGTCGCCACCAACCAAACCAAAGATTTATTTCTAACATTTCCTGGCAAAAATTCACCATACACGCCGATTCAGGTATATCGTCATTTCCTCCTCTCATTTTCTTTTTTTGTCAGGTATTTCTTTTTTTTCTTTTTTTTTTTTTTTTTTAATTAATTAATCTCTCTCTCTCTCCCTCTCTTTTTTTTTTTTTTTGCCAAAGGTATCAAGGATTGATCCAATATATTAATTCGTATTTATTCTTATTTTTCTACTTCTTGAGAGAGATATTTTGTTCTTTTCGTTAAATTATAAAAAAAAACTCATGGGGATTGAAGTTTAAATAACAATCGATTTATAAAATTCATCTTTGTATTCGTTGTATTTTCGATACAATTTAACGGGGAAAAAACTATTGTAAATCGCGAGATTATTTTGTATGATAAAATTAAAAGAAAAGAAATAATTAATATTAAAACAAAAGAGAGAGAAAGAGAGAGAGATAGTTTAGTCAATTAAGTTTGAAAGTAATAATCGATAATATTTTTCAATCGTTAATTTAATTTCAGAACGTGAATCGTATTGCACATTTTTGATCAAAACATTTGATATATATATATAAAAATAAAGATACTATTTGAAATAATTTATATGCATAGAATATTAAATTTTTATTTTAATAATCGTTATATTCGATAAACAATCTCTTTGGGGTTGAAAACTTTTCAAGATAGTTTTCACATTTTAAAGGAAGATCAATTTAATAATTGAAACAGTTAGATAAAGTTGAGAAATACCCTTGCATATTATAGTTTCTCATTTGGTCTAGGTCAGGGTCTATTATACTGTCATATAAAATATGACTGTATATATATATATATGCTTGTGTTTGTAAGAGAAATATAACGATAAAAGGGTATGGCTAAATTCTCAACGGGAAACTGTTCCTATATACGATGAAGATAGTAATAAATTAATAGATTCGCGTTCTCCTAAAATACAGACACTACCAAAGAGAGTGAGAGAGAGAGAAGAGAACAGGTAGAACAGAAGAGACGAATGAACGTTCACCTATTTGATTAATGGATTGCACCTTTGTGTTTAAAACTTTATCGAATGTAACGCGTAACTTTCGATGTTCACCAATGACTTAATCTATCTTTCTCTTTCTATTTCTTTTTTTTTTTTTTTTTTAACTTTTCTATACTTGTATCACAGTCCGAGCAAAATTAATTAATCGAAAATTAAAATTTTGTACGATTCCGAATAGAAATGGTGAGGGGAGGGCGGGGGGATGAGGTGTATAGGAAAAGAAAAAAAAATTGTAAAAGAAATTTCCGCGCCATAGGATTTTTTTTTTTTTTTTTCTTTTTTTTCTGTCGAATAAGAGATAAAAGATTATACACAGATATATAAGGGATAAAAGAGATTAAAAATCTTGGATCAAAGAATTTCGTGCTTGGTAAATCAGGATTTTGTAGGGTGTTGTTTACCGGAACGTAGGGGAGCAGAATACAGTCAGGGGGAGGGTGATACCCTCTTTCAAAGGGGTGTTTCTCTCTCTCTCTCTCTCTTTCTTTCTTTCTCTCCTTCGAATCAAAGAATGTAGAAAGAGGGAGTCAATAGGGTCGAGTGTTAGTAGAAAAGAACGGAAAATTTTTTTCTTTTTTTTTTAAATGTAAGATGAGAACAACACAAAAATTCTACTCATATGATATTTTGTTTTATTTTTATAATGAAAAAGGAATAAAAAGAATTGCCACTTATATGGTTTATCGTATAATTCGTTATCAATTGATTTAAAAAAAAAGAGTTAAAAAAATGTTATTGTTTATTAATTTAACCAGGAAAAAAATATATATATTTATTACAATACGAATGCGAATGATGTAATAAGGGAACGTATATTTTATTGATCGTATAGAATTTATTTGAAAGATTTAGATTATTCTAAACCCCCTCCCATCCCCACACACCCCTCTTTCTTTCTTTCTTTCGTTTTTATCAACCTATGTGAGATAGATGAAATATAAGAGATATTTTCATTAGTGTCATGTCAATCGAAATACGTTCGAGATTGGAATACCTTGGATGAAATGATTCGAATCGAAAGGCAAGCATTTAGCAGAGTGGAGGATGTAGTTTGAGAAATTTTGGGATTGTTTAGTAACCGACTAGAATACATAACTTATCTCTGATGTATTTCTCGTTCATACCTATGGAATTGGTCAATAACGGTTACAAAATGTAATTGAAAATATTTAGGAATATGAATAAATAAAAGGGGGAAGAGGGGGGGGGAGAAAGAGAAAGATAGAAGAAAAATAACGGTGATAATAATTTTATGTGACAAATGATTTTAATGATAAATCCAATCACAAATTATATATTTTATCATTTACAAAATTTTTTTTTTTTATATATTTATTAAAATTTTTTCTCTACACATCGTACTATATTTTATTATATATTTTTTATTAATATTTCATGTGATTTATATTATAAGATAAATAATATTAAATCTCTGTTTGTTTTATACAATTTTTTTTAGGGGCGAGGGGATTTAATTATTCGCTGTTAATTATAAAAAAAAAATCGATTGTAATTATATGCATATATCAATTTTATTCGATTCGTGATCGATATATATTATAACGAAATACGTAAAAATATTTAACTTAAAGCGTAACATAAACTAACATTTGATAGTGGTGGGAACAACAAGGTAATATCAACCTGTCACCTTGGAAAGATTTGTTCAGTCCTTTGTAAAACTTCGAGCAGGACGCATCAAAGATAACATAGTTGAATAGAGAGATAGAAAGGGGTTGGTAGGGGGAAGGGGAAGGGTGTGGGAAGGGGGAGAGAGGGAAAACACCGAGAAAGTAAATTTAATTTACATTAGAATATCTAAACGATATAGGAAGTTTTAATCGTTAATTCATTTATTCATTCATTCATTCATTCATTCATTCATTTAGTTTGTTAGTTAGTTAGTTAGTTAATTACTTATTTACTTCGAGAACGTTTGGTTTAATATTAAATAATTTCGAGTAAGGAAGTGAATTATCAAATATTATTCAACGACTTAATATATTATATTATATATATATATTTTTTTTTTTTAAGGTATTAGCTGTGGAGTACAAAAAGTTTCTTCGTATTTTAATGAGAAATGTGAAATGAATTTTCTTGATAATTTTCTATACTTATGCGATTATTTTCGAATAATTTAAATATTATATATTTTAACATATTGTTAAATATATGGCACAAAACAATTACAAAATTTCAATTAATACAATATTACAGAGAGATATTATATTTATTTAAATATTAACGATTAAAAGTATCTAAATTACCTACCGAATAACAACACCATAAACAAAATATATTATATCAATTTAATACGTAACCGTTTGATTTTAAAATAATAATTAAATATAATCGAATGTTTTATAATTAAAATAATCAATTAATATATATAATTTGATAATATAATTATTATTATAATTGAATTGATTATTAAATGATAAAATAAAATGATAATTTTTGTATTAAATAGGCAATATTAATCACCCTGGTGCTGGTAAGCATCATCATTGGCACTGTCATCGGAAACATCCTGGTTTGTGTCGCGGTATTCCTCGTTAGGAAACTACGACGACCTTGCAACTACCTTTTGGTTAGCCTAGCCGTCAGTGATCTCTGCGTGGCACTTCTGGTAATGCCGATGGCATTACTATACGAGATTTCCCATAATTGGACATTCGGAGAAGTTATATGTGATCTATGGGTTAGCTTCGATGTACTTAGTTGTACAGCCAGTATTCTCAATCTGTGTATGATATCTCTTGATCGGTAAGTTCACCTTTCTCACCTGATTAACTTTTATCATAATCATTTTTTAATCATTATTTCAATATATCTTAGGTTTTTATTTTTTTTTCTTCTTCTTCTTTATTATTGTTTTATTACTATGGAACATATATTTTAATGAAAAATACAAGTAATAATGGTCAACGAAAGTTCTTGAAAAAATGTTTGAACAAATTGTTTTTATCAGCAACGTTATTGGAAACTGTTCTTTTTTCTTCTTTTTTAATTGGTTACAAATCAAAAAGATTAGTTTTGATAAATTTTCTGATACACCATACATGCATTTCTTTTATTGAAACATGACAAATATAATGAGAAGTATAATAAAATTAGTATTATTTATAAATATATTTCAACCGTAATATTTATTTTATTTATACTTTAGTACACGATATTATTAATTCTTCTAACAATCTAATCTCTTGAAATAAATATTCTTCATTAATAATTTCTATAATTTCAATTATTAATATTAAATTTCAATTATAAAATTCTTGATTGAATTTATCGAAGAACAAATAAAAAAAAAAAAAGAATTAGTACTCTTTCTTTGTACTTTTTCTCGATAAATAATAATAATAATAATAATATTCAAAAAATAAACAAACATATCCAAGAACTTTTGAGCCAGCCTGTAGAATAAAATCGTTAATTAACCGGGCAACATACATTGGCGACGGCCATTGTTCTTATTCAAGAGTGTATTCATGCTGTTATGTGTTTAACGCGTTTCTCTCGCGAGATTCGTTGCAAATATTTACATTACGTGGGGACATTTAAACGCCCATCATCATGGGGAATCTTAGTTAAACACTCATTTCTAACGTTTATTAAATTTTATCGGTGTTGTGTTGTGTTGATGGTGATGGTGGTGATGGTGGTGGTGGTGGTAATACCCTAATCGAAACAAAGCAAAGCAAAGCAGCAGCAAAAATAAAAAAAAAAAAAAGATAGAAAGATTGAGACAAAACGTACGAAAACAAAAAACAAAAAAAAAAAAGAAAAAGAAAAAAAAATATAAAGACGAACTTTAAAAGTGCTATTAAAATTCCAAGCGGTTTTTTCTCTCTCTCTCTCTCTCTCTCTCTTTATTCACTTTCATTCTTTATTTCTCATTACCCTCGGATAAAAAGAAACCAAAAATCTAACTGACCTTTTTTTTTTTTTTTTTTTTTTTTTTTATTCTCGTTCACTATACATTACTAAAAAGTTACGTATTCATATATATATTACATGCATACCACGTTATTACACTATTTTCTATTTTTTTTGTTTTCTTTTTCAAATTTATTCTTCCAACAGATTTATACAAAAAAGCAGGGACAAAAAGAATATATAAATGTTGAGAAAAAATCGATTAAAGCTTGTTACATGTTCGATATATGCAAACATTATTAACGTAACACACACATGCACAGTGACGAATCTTTAATTGATATTAAACCGTTATCAAATTTTCTATCGTTTTCATTGTATACCTATATACAATCCCCATTAAAATTTTGTCATTGTTTCATATCACGGACTGCTTTGTTTCACTAGGATATTATGACATAAAGAAAAAATATACAGAAAATCTTGTAACAGATAGATAGAAAGAGAAAGAGAACAAAAAGTGGGAAAAAAGAAAAATAGAGAGAGAAAGAAACAAACACAGAAAGAAAAAGGTAACTTAGTTAACTTAGAACAAATTTTGATAAACTAACTTTATACTTGGTTGTATTATTCTTTTTCTCACTTTATCTCTCTCTCTCTCTCTCTTTCTTTCTTTTTCTCTTTCTCTCTCTGTTTCTCTCTCTCTCTTTCTCTCGATCAACTCACGTCAAAGGTACTGGGCGATCACGAAACCTCTGAAATACGGCGTTCAGAGGACACCTAAACGGATGATGGTCTACGTGCTACTTGTTTGGTTGGTAGCAGCTTGCGTTAGTCTGACGCCATTATTGTTTATCGAAAACGCTTATACCTACTCGGAAACTGGACCCTCGCATTGTACGGTCTGCCAAAATTTCTATTATCAGATCTACGCAACAGTCCTCAGTTTCTACGTACCACTAACCGTCATGATAATGGTGAGCGTTTAGTAGTTTTTTTTTTTTCTTTTTTTTTATTATTTTTAAAAATTTTTTTCTTTTCCATTATTTTTCATCCGCTTCATACGAGTGTCTCTGTGTGTGTGTGTGTGTGTGTG